GTGCAGGTGATGGAGATGAGCAAGAAGAAACTCGGGGCCGACCATCCAGACACGCTGACGAGCATGAACAATCTCGCATTCACATGGAAAGGACAAGGCCGTGATGAAGAGGCAATTAGACTCCTGGAAGAATGTGTTTTGTCACGCACGTGTGTGCTAGGACATTTTCATCATCTCACAGTTAATTCAACCGAGGCACTAGCTGGATGGAGAGCAGAACAATCGGGCATTGATAGGGGGGTTTCATAGTAGTAATAGATCAGCCATTGTAGGAAGATTGATATCAATGCATGAAACGAAAGTGAAGCCGGATGTGGCTTAAGTGTACACCCCGTGAATCGCTTATACGGGCCTTACTTGAAAGGCACCGCGAGGCTTGGGGAACTCAGGCATTAAAGCCGCTGACAGTATTAAATCTAAGCTAAGCTGCTTTTAGCTTTTTGATACAGTTAGCTAGATTTTGTTAAAATCCATAGATGAATTTCCAGTCGCTACAACTCCATATTTATCTGTAGGATTGGCTTCTTTCTCTCGGGATAGGACGATCACGTACCTGACTACAGTATAGAGGCCTTTTAGCAGGATGCATTAACTGGACAGTGGTCGCGAGGTTTCGGAAGTGAAGCTGCTGCGCTCAAGGTGAATGGTAGCGTTGCACGGTAAGGAAGGGCCATTGTTAAAATATGATAAACATAGTCATTAATTTAGGATTCAAAGCCGCTATCCTGAGAACATCTATCTCTTTAGCTGGCTGTTGAGCTTGTTGTGTTGGAAAGCTATGGCGGGTTTTCGGCACGCAGTGAGGGACGTTAGTGGTTACTATGTTGGACGAGGGGCTTCTCACGCAGGGGACTGTTGTCCGTGCGAAGGCACGCGTGCGATCGCGGGGCTTACAGGACCACACAGAGTCACAGACGAACAAGGAACAGTCCTGAGTTGCCTCCACATCCGCCACGCCCCTACGGGCAAAGCGTACCTATACTATCTTAGTGTCCAGGCTTGGTGTGGAGCAGGAGTGAGACTACCATACTTGACAAGATCCCGGAGTCTTACTCTTCCCACAGATTCTGGGATCGCACAGGACGTTTTCCCCCGTACTTCCACCACACCCATAAGATGAGAACAGCCCTAATCTACCACCAAATGTGTGGACTCCTTCATGAGTCCCTTGTGTGTTCTCGAAATCATCTAGCCAGCAAAATGAGAGAGACCTGTCATTGTAACTCGGCTTACTTGGAAGTTGTGTCCTCCTTCGAGAGATAGGTTGATCCTGCTAGTCAGATCCCACGAGAAGAATCCCTGTTGATATAAATGACGACGATGAGATCAATGAAATTGCAGAGTACATGATTTGGACAGTTATACATCGTTTGATCTGCGTGACTATGGAGCCTACTGCTTTGTTGCGCATACAGGGATTCGTGCTTGCTAGCGCCCCCTTGTCACATGGGCTTGCTTGCCGGGATGAAGAATAAGCACGGTCCTGTTGCGCAATGTATCCTGCTTCTTAGACAGAGAAGCAATATCTGAGTAAGGACATGTACAGGAGGTTCCGAGGTGGCAAAAGGATTGAGCGCTTTCCATAACTGTTCACCTGGCCCCTATCCAAGCGTCTGGGACTGAAAATGGGTTGTATAGTTGACTTGATGGCTGCATACTTCCGCTACTTTTGACATGGGGCGTCACTGATTTGGGCTTTCTGATGATCGAGCGTTTCTTGGAATCTTGGCTGAAAGTTATATGGCCAACCTCAGTTTTCGAGGTTAGCTGAAAGTACCCAGCGACCTTGCCGGATGCCCTGTTCCATTTTGCTCCTTTGGTATTCATTTTACGCGCCCGAAATGCAGGCAGAGTTATATGACGCAGAAAATATACAAGCATATGACTGTTTGCTAGGCAGTATGTCTATGATGAGGAAATAACAGTTCATGGCTAACTTACAATAGAGGTATCACGCTTGTTCTCAGTCAATGACCTACGGTCATTTTCCTTTACTAGTCTCCCAGTATTTTGCCTCAGTCATTATGTTCATCGTCAGTGTAATGGGAACTGGCGAAGTTGAGGTAAATATTCGAAAGCTGCAAACAGGAGTTTGTATCAGTGCACAAGCCAATGTTTTGAAATATAAGAAAGGTGATGCATGTGTTGGTTGTTGGTTGTTGACTAAATCGCGTCAAATCGCGTTCCATTTTGGTACGGGAGTGTTCCAAACTGATGTCTTGGCACTATATAATATGGCTTGTACAGCCTCTACGATCTTCTCCTCACCTTTATTTGCTACTTTATGCAAACTTCTTCGTTATGAGCCAAGCTCTGTGGAATCAAGATCTTGGCGTCTTGCAGCTCCGAGGATCCTTCTTGCGAAAAAGCTCCACGCGCTGCTGAAGGAACAATCCCTCGGTTGGAGCGCCGTTGAACCGATGGATCACATAACATACAATAATGGCCCAGATATGCGTGACATGCTATGACAATAGAAAGCATTCAGCTCGTAGAATGCTTATAGGGTTGAACTTCTAGCGTGTAAGAGGTAGATGCGTAACTTCAAATTTTCCCTCACACATATCTATCGACTCATCCACCACTCTTCCCTCCACACGTCACCCTCCCGCAATCTCACCCAGACATCCAAATTACTCTCCCACCTCATCTACTGTGTCCAGCATCTATATGAATCAATCGCCTCCCACGGTCCCTCATTGCACCTCCCGGACGCCACACTACAACAATACGTATTGCACGGCGGCAGCCCGCAACTCGAGATATAAAACTCGCAACTGCTGGTCCCCGGCGGTGGCACCCATATGTCGCACAATTTCGTGTTCTTCCAGCCGCTAATATGGATGCAGCCGGTGCCCGTCGTCTCAGTCTGCTAGTACTCGCCGTTTCAGCCGTACGAGCGGACGACGGGGTTGGCATATGCGGCAGCGACGAGGGAGGGGAGGGCAGCGGAGATCTCCATGACGACGGCAGTAGATTTTTCGACGAATGAGTGAGGTATGGTGGAAAGTGGTGGAGGTGAGGGAGATAGCGGAGGAGCGACTACTAGGGATAGATGGATGCGTGTATTTATCTTGAGCTGGATCTTGGTTTGCTCTTTGTCTTCCTTCTTGGGGCTTCTACATTGCGTCTCGTTGTACGTAAATGCGAACGCTCGAGACACTATACCTGCCTTGGTTGCAGACACCAAATGTACGCCCCCAGCATACACACTCCACTGGGAAACATTCTCCCTACAAGGGTGCAGCCACAGCTATTTTAACAATGTGATAGGCGAATCCGCATTCCTTACGCCTAGATCATGCGATGCAAGATATTGCACACAACTACCAAAACCGGTGACATATTTTGTAGCTAGTGCTGCGCCCAAGACAAGGTCGTGCCTGTCCTTCTTAAGGTCCCAGTTATGGTTCCCATAGAGACCCTGCTCTAACATTAGTTGACGTGAGTTGACGTTAGTTCCAGGCTTTGGGTGGGTTCTAAGCCTGGTACCCTGCCGAGCATATCTTAGCCGTAATCGACTTGATAAATGCTTATGGTGGCAACTGCGCGCACCCTCTTCGGAGTTGGCTCTAAGTTATGAGATGTGGAAGCATGAGAAAAGAAATTTCACGTTGAGGATATAAGTGAGTGATTGCACCCCTGTGGCGCGGATTCCTGCTATAGCGTCAAGTATTGCCGGTGCACAGGAAACGAGTGTTGATGTTCCGCTGTGGTGACAATATTCTGCAGTCACGAGACGTTTTCTCAGGCGACATCGCGAATTGTAACAGAAACCGAAAGCTCTAAGAGATCCATTAACCCACCCTTGAGAGCGGTTTTAGAGAAAAAATAATAGAGTTATTGATTGAAATGTTTGCGTGATTCTGACATTTTAGAAGGCCATCCTTCAGAGAGCAAAGAAGCGGCCTTGGTATCTAGTAAGTTAGCCATTGAGCCCACTTAATAAGCACCAACACACAGTTGGCCAATTAGGTAGTATAGCGCTAGAGTCGCCTTGTCTCGCTTTATTGCTATCATGCATATATGATAATTAAGGTCTTCTACGATGGTGTGCGCGGATTCAAGCGCTAGTACGTGGATGCTTTGCCGATGTCACGGCAGAATTTGAGGTGAAGGGGGCCTGTGGCGGTGGATGCGGGGCGGGTAAGGCTGGCGCCAGCGCGAGAAGGGTTGTTTTTAGGTCGTGGTTGCTGGAGTGACAAGCGAGCCCAAACAAACGTGCATGCAGCCGAACTACCCGCAGGACCAGCACCGTCGAAGACCTCATCCCCACGCAAACTCGACATCTCCCACAAGACATAATCTCCAATTGCTTTCCGGCTGTGCTGCCCTGCCTTCTTTGCTGCCGTTCGAGACAATCGACTCGCGACGCTTCTCACCTCAATCTTTAACTCTAAATTCACACAACACACGGATTCCCGACGTCCTAAGCGACGCTTGTCGCAATGGATCGTCCATTGACACCTAATGGTCGCGGTCCACCGCGATACAGAGGACCTCCAGCGTATACTTCAGCGGATGACGAGGATGCAATGCCAAATCATCAGCATGGAGGTTCAACGATGCGCTTATTAACGAATGCGGAGGAGACCTTTATGTATGTTCCAGCTCAGAGCTCTCCTACCTGTCTGCCGTGCTCCACATATGGAGGCTGTATTTTCTACAAGAATTTGTTTACCGTCTAATAGTACTCCTGTAATTTCTGATTCTGCTTCTCTTCTCTCGGGGTTTAACAGCGCTGCGGCAACTGTTGGCGACTGGGGCTCTGCCTCCGATGCGGGAAAGCAAGCTGCTGCCGAAGCGGCCATTGTCGACCTGCTGCGTGAGGTAGAAACTTCTGTCAACGGATCTTCCGACAAGTCCTCCAGTCTTCCAAAAAGAAAGACTCTCAAAGTGCGCTTTGTGCCAAAATATTCTCCTATCAATATTTCTTCTACTTCTATTGCGAGACTTTCTCCAGATCGCCTTTCTCCTTTCCAACGAGCTCGATCTACTTCTCCTGTCAAGAAGGCAAAGGACCCAGGCTTACCTGTGAATGCACCGCGCAGACCACCATCACCTTTATCGCGATCATACCACCCGTCGACAAGCTCGCTACCGCTTTCGAGAGCGCCATCAGTCATTGATACTGCGCCAAATATTCCACCGCCAGAGAATGACTCGCCATCATACGTCCCATATCGTCGACCCGTATCTCCAGAACGAGCATCACCAGCGAGACCATACTCTCCAACAAGGACATCTGCGGACTACGTGAGGCCCCCAGCGTCAAGTGTAGCGTATGAGCCAGCAGATCTAAATGGAAGCCCAAGGCCAGGAACTCCCTCGTCCAAGTATGGGGGACGGCCAGGAAGTCCGAAGCGACCGCTACCTCCCGCGCCGTTGTTCGCTGGCGGTAGGCCCATCTCGCGCGATTCAAATGTGACCATAGATGCATCGACAATACCAATCACCGATGACGATGTCTTCACCGACATTAATGATCGGCCAGAGCTGCATGCTCGCGACTCGTACATGACGGATTCTACATTTGCGGATGAATTCCCTCCAGCGGATGATGAGAAGGAGGAACACTATGGTCCAGCACCAGAGGGCGCGCAGACCCGTCGTGGAGCTCGGTTAGCGGTCATGTCGAAGAAGGAAGTGCGTCTCATCAACGGGGAATTGATTCTAGAGTGCAAGATTCCCACCATCCTGTACAGTTTTCTACCACGCCGCGATGACATCGAGTTTACCCATATGCGCTATACCGCTGTGACATGCGATCCGGATGATTTCGTCGACAGAGGCTACAAACTCCGCCAGAATATTGGAAACACGGCCCGGGAAACGGAGCTGTTTATTTGCATCACCATGTACAATGAGAATGAAATTGACTTCACAAGGACGATGCACGGCGTCATGCGCAACATCACGCACTTTTGCTCACGCACACGGTCCCGCACCTGGGGCAAAGACGGGTGGCAGAAGATCGTCGTGTGCATCATTTCTGATGGTCGACAAAAAGTCCACCCTCGGACTCTTGACGCGCTTGCAGCGATGGGATGTTACCAAGACGGCATTGCGAAGAACCACGTTAATCAGCGCGAAGTCACGGCTCACGTGTACGAGTACACAACGCAAGTCTCCCTGGACTCCGATCTCAAGTTCAAGGGCGCTGAGAAGGGCATTGTCCCTTGTCAAATGATCTTCTGTCTCAAAGAGCGCAACCAAAAGAAACTGAATTCTCATCGCTGGTTCTTCAATGCCTTCGGCCGTGCCCTGAATCCTAATGTCTGTATTCTCCTCGATGTGGGTACAAAACCTGGTCCAAAAGCGCTGTATCATCTGTGGAAAGCCTTCGATACCGACTCTTCTGTCGCAGGCGCTGCTGGCGAAATCAAAGCTGGGAAGGGGAGAGGATGGCTGGGCTTACTGAACCCCCTCGTGGCCTCCCAGAACTTTGAGTACAAGATGAGTAATATTCTCGACAAGCCGCTGGAATCTGTGTTTGGGTATATCACGGTGTTGCCTGGCGCTTTGTCCGCGTATAGGTTTCATGCGCTGCAGAATGATCATACGGGTCATGGACCTTTGAGCCAGTACTTCAAGGGCGAGACGTTGCATGGTCAGGATGCGGATGTGTTCACAGCGAATATGTATCTTGCTGAGGATCGTATTCTCTGTTGGGAGCTTGTGGCAAAGCGGAGTGAGCAGTGGGTGTTGAAGTATGTCAAGAGTGCGACCGGCGAGACAGATGTACCAGGTAAGCATTCCCAATTCTCCTCTCATCTCATCTCCTTCAATTCCACTAATCCTCCTCCTTTAGACGCCGTCCCCGAATTCATATCTCAACGCCGCCGATGGCTCAACGGCGCCTTCTTTGCCGCTGTCTACTCTCTCCTCCACTTTCGCCAAGTCTGGGCCACCGACCACACTATCTGGCGTAAAACCCTCCTCCACATCGAATTCGTCTACCAATTCGTATCGCTTATGTTCACCTTCTTCTCGCTCGCAAACTTCTATCTCACATTCTACTTCATCGCGGGTTCACTGGCTGACCCCAAACTCGACCCCTTTGGCCACAACATTGGAAAATACATTTTCTACGTGCTGCGCTATACATGCGTTCTGCTCATCTGCATGCAGTTTATCCTCTCAATGGGAAACCGCCCCCAAGGCGCGAAAAAAATGTTCCTTACCTCCATGGTCGTGTACTGTGTCATCATGGCATATACAACCTTCGCCTCCATCTACATCGTCGTAATCCAACTCCGCGACCCAAAGGCGCCAAAACATATCGGTAACAACGTATTCACCAATCTCATCGTATCAACCGCCACAACCATCGGCCTGTATTTCCTCATGAGCTTCCTGTATCTAGATCCCTGGCACATGTTCACCTCCTCTGCGCAGTATTTCGCCCTCCTCCCCTCATACATCTGCACACTCCAAGTCTACGCTTTCTGTAATACGCATGATATTACGTGGGGCACGAAGGGCGATAATATCGCGAAAACGGATCTTGGGGATGCTAGAGCGAAGAAAGCGGGTGGTGGGGTTGTCGAGCTAGAGATGCCGAGCGAGCAACTGGACATCGATTCCGGGTATGACGAAGCGCTAAGGAATCTCCGCGATCGCGTGGAAGTCCCCATTCCAGGGACGTCGGAGGCCCAAGCCCAGGAGGATTATTACCGTGCGGTGCGGACGTATATGGTTGTTGTGTGGCTAATATCTAATGCTATCCTCGCGATGGCGGTCAGTGAAGCGTACTCCGGCTCCTCAGTCAATGATAACTTTTATCTAAAGTTTATCCTGTGGGCAGTTGCGGGACTGGCGTTTTTCCGCGCGTGCGGGAGCAGTGCATTTGGCATTATCAATGTGGTGAATAGCGCCGCCGAGGCAAGGCTGAAGTGGCAAGATAAGATGAATAGTAAAACGGGACTGGGAGGTGGGAGGGGGAAGAAGTTTGGTGGGGGTTGGGGAGGCGGAGGCGCGAGTTGGTGGAGCGGGAGTGGGAGCTGGATGAGTAGTAAGGTTAGTAGTTGGGCGCCGAGTTCGTGGAGTGGGAGTAGGAGAGGTTGAGGAATTGTTCGGGAGATTGGAATGGTTGTGAAGTCGACTTGGGAATGGATTTGATAGGGTGTATCATGAAGTGTAATGATTCATGGCTTGTGGTATTGGCGTTGAGGGGCTGCTTAGATACCTGTTTGTGCTAGGTAGGTATTCGGGCGGCAATGAAAAGGTCTTCTCTTCCCCACTCTCTTAGATTCGTGAATCTCTGTGGGATGTTACACTATGATGAGCAGACGGAAACGGTAAGAGTGTAGTATTAAAGCGCAAGGACGAAGTTTAGGAACCTTACTAGTAAGAAAAACAAATCAGGATGGTATATCTCTTTACCAATTTACAGCACCCCTAGCCGACAAAGAATAACACATCAGACATCTCTAGCTCCCTGTCTTCAAACCTAGAGTGAGATCCTTCCGTCTTTGCTAAACATATCGAATAACTAAACCCACCTCTTCTTAGACCTCAACACATCCTTCATTCCAATTTCCGTTGTCCTTTAAATCAGTCATTTTACACCCACCCCTTTCCATCAAATGACAGAACGATTACTCAATCTAAGATTCCTGCCCGTGACTAGTCATGCGTGATCCCCCCAACTTCCTTCCGTTGTCATCAGAGTGACGTGAATTCGCAGTCTTAGGATGATTGATCGGTCAGTAACTGGCTACATCAGGGAAGTAGTGGTTTCTGAATTGGGCTAGAAGGGTAGAAGGATAAACACTTGGGGACTTGTGAGGTACTTCACCGAGGTGGGGGGGAGTTTAGAGGGACTGGAGGGGTTGAGGACAAGTTAGTAAGTAGTAACGCTAGATGGATGAATGAAGAAAGCAGAATGTAAGCCGGGCGTTCGATTCGGGGGTGTATAATGAGATGGATTTCTTTGGGGCTATGATACCTGCTCAAGGACCTTCATGGATGAATAGATTTGAGTTCTATCATCGACTGTTGAGCATCATTCCTTGCTCTTCTTACTAATATCCTCACATATAATCTCTCATAGCATCGCCCCTCACCCCCAATCACCATGTCTACCGAATCAATTTCACCAATCACAATCCCGCATTTCGACTCCCCCTTTGTCCTCGCCTATATCCGCGGCCTTAAAACCATCCCCCTCCCCAGCGAATTCCTAACCCAAATCCATGCCTTCGGCAACAGCCTCGTCGAAATGCACATGTAGAAAGACGAATGGAATGGATGGAACCGCATCACCGGTGTCAAATGCATTCGCGCAATCGTAGGTTGTCTAGGCACAAGCTAGCCCCGTACCAAGGTCGCGGCATTGGTAGATGGAATGGAGCAAACGCGTCCAACCAGTTCCGTTGAGCAATGTTACTCCCGTGGAGCGAAGTTGCCGTGGGAAGACTTTTACCGCTCTGCCGGAATAGATAGTACTGCGTATTCTTGCACCTTCACAATCCTCGACGTCAAGGCTGGGGAAACCGTCTTGGTCGGAGGAGCGAGCGTCGACAATCAGTCAAGCGGCGCTGGATTTTGCCGCGAATGCTGGCGCCAACGGTACAAGCACAACTCGCTGCGCCTCACGGTTTCCCGTGCTGGAAAAATGGGCGCTGTTAAGGTTAATTTCGAGAAGCTGGATCTCGGTGCACAATTCTTTCTGTCGACGTCTACGCCCTTTGGTAATGTCCTCAATCTAATCGGCAGCTCCGTCCGGCAGCTCCGTCCTTATTGTATATATTGACCTCACGTGGCCGTTTAGTCGTATCCTGCAGGTGGGCTGGCTAGGTAGACTAACGCCGGTCAAGGATTTAACCCGATGGTGGAGAGGAGTTCGAGGTAGCGTTTTACTTGTTTCATAGTATGGTACTTGGAAGTATGGAGTGTCCGGCGGAGGGGATTTCGTTGCAAGAGATTGTGAGGAAGATTGAGAGAGGGGAGTGGGAGGCTAAGTGGGAGGAGATTGAGAAGCTGCATCAGTTGTTAGATAGTCATGACGCTGTTGGAAAGATTATTGCTAAGGGCTAGAGGGTTGTGGGAAGTGGAGGGGATACATTGTGAAATTAGCCAATATGTAATACTAGAGCTTTAGTTAGTGGCATGTTAGTAAGGGGAGTATCCTTACATCCACGATGCAGTACAGCCAAACACTTTCGCATCTTAGAACCTGCCAGTGAGAAATAGCTCTCTGGAAGAATATTATAATCTACCGGAAAGTGAAGAGCTCTTAGGACTATCCATCACCCTCCTTTCCCAACAAGCACTCCCCCAAAATACCTCTCTACCTCCTTAAACCCCTCCCCACCCAACTCTCCCACAAATCCTACATACTGATCTGGCCGCGTAACAAGCACACACCCTGTCTCCCTATCAACCCCATAATTCCCATACGCATCCCCATACCCCTCATGGTAGCTCTCATCATCCACAAACACGCTATTATAATCCCAGCCAGAATGCTCGTCAAACGGATGCAGGACCTCGGGGAAATCTCGCAACAGCTCTGTATCCGTGCGTTTCGCCGAATGCAGTGTTAGAACATCAATGTTTGTATACAGATGCGGTTTCAAGAATGTCGAGGAAGCGAGGGCGCCGCAGAATGCATTGAGGCGCTCATTCTGGGCTGGCGAAAGTACGTTTCCAGCGAAGACGATAAGCCGGAAACGTCCATCACTCTTCAACCGCTCTTGGAAATGCCAAGGTCGCGCATCCGACTGGTTCAACACTTTGAAACTCGGGAACCGCATTCCCATTAGCACCTTCTTCGCCAACTCTTGCTTCCCGCGGACCCTAGATGCGGAGACATCAGTCCCATCTCCTTGTTGTGCGGCATTACCTTCTTTAGCAACGAGCATGCTAGCGCCGTAATCAACCGACAGTCCCGATGCGAACAGGTTCCCTTTAATGAACGCGTCTTTGAAATCAGCCATGCTAACGCCACTTTCATCCATGACATCCTTGGCCGGTCTACCGGAAAACAGCCGTGAGAATTTGTGGTCAAAGTTGATGAGGTCCTGTGCAACGCGTCGTCGTTCACTCTGGTATGTTTTCAGAATCTCGGGTTTCGCAATCCCTTTGACAACGAGACCGAGCTTCCAGCCTAGGTTGAACGCATCTTGCATACTGACATTCATGCCCTGTCCAGCCTTTGGTGAGTGCGTGTGGACTGCGTCGCCGGCTAGAAAGACTCGGCTTCTGGAGTCAAAGTTGGTGCCGACACGTTGCCCAATTTGATATGCAGTCCACCAGTCGCAGTATTCGTACGTGATTTTATAAGGGGAGAGGATCTTCTGTGCTGCGGTGATGATGGTGGTTGGGGTGATTTGGGATCTGTCAGCACGGCCTGAGGCATCGGGCTTGATTTCATTGAGTTGGATGTAGAGCCGCACGAGCTTGTTTTCGCGGGGGATAACCATGAGAGAGCCTGAGGAGGCGCTGTGGACGGCACAGCGCATCCGGATGTCTGGGAAGTCGGTTATAGGGATTACATCTGTGCACTGTTAGCAAATCGAATCGCTTACGCTTCATCTTCCACGAACTCTTCAAGGGAGGTATGGAGAAGACATACCAAGCACACCCCAGATAAAATCTGTCGGTTCCCCTTCTAACTGAAACCCCAGCTGCCTCCTCGTCCAACTATGCGCGCCATCACAACCCACCATGTACTTTGCTCTCACAACCTCCGCCGCGCCTTCTTTCACCTGACTCTTTCGAATCAAATCATCTGTATCATCTTCCGCAAGATTGCTTCTAAACATCCCATCCCTGACATCATTTCCGTTTCCATTACTCTGCTGCGCCGGCGTCGCCTCCTCTTCTGTCAAATGTCTCAATGTGACTTTAATCGGATAGGAATCAGCCGAGTGGTTATCGCACAGGGTTTCGTCGATGGAGAGGGACTCGGGGAGAACGGCGCGCTCGACCGAGATGGGGGGGTCGGAGTACTTCTTGATGTGGTCGAGGAAAAAGCGTTCGATGCGGCCTTGATGTAGGACGATTTGCGTGAAGCGGGACAGACCGACTGGGACATCGGGGATACGATCAGAGCGACGTATAGTACCGTCCGCACCTGGGTTCTACGCATGGTAGGCAGTGAGTGAGTGCTGGGCATGAGAAAGACGTTGCGAGTGTCGTATAATAGTGGGCAAATGACATACCCACATGCAAATCTAATAAACCAACCCGTCAGCGAAAGTCCCGAATTCCAAGTACTCCTGATCACAGAATCCGACGTTACATACCTCAATCATATGATTTGCCTCTTTCCAAGCCCGATCCGCAAACCCAAAGCTATCAAAGATTTCCAAACTTCGCATCTGCAAGCCATCAGCCTGACCAGAAAAGATCTTTGTACTGCGTTTGTCCACGATTCGAGCATGGATTCCGCAGCGCGCCATCCATGCTGCCATCATCAGGCTGCAAAAGTTCCTGTCAGCCTTGTATCCCCAATCGTGGGTGTTGGGAGAGTAAACTTACCCGGCAGGTCCGGCGCCAATGATAAGCCTGTGACGATTTGAGATTAATTGGGGGAAGTAAGGGGTAGAATTGAGGGCTTACACGTCGCATTTCGATTCTGGAGTCGATGGAACTGTCATTATGCAAGGCAAGCTGTTGATTTTTCAAGGATTTCTATCGATTTGCTGTCGTCACTCTGTTTTATATGCTGCCCCTCACGAGACGGACTGCAAGAGTAAGACTGACAAAATCCCTCCTCTTGCACCATCAAACGGGGTAGACCGAAATATATGCATCCGCACGGCACAGCTCTACGCCCAGAATTCTGTTCACCGCGGCAATGAACATCGGGGTCCAAACAAACACATCTTTGGTGGTGAGGAGTGGGTCACGGATCCCACTGCGGGCATCTTACCCCACTACGCGCCAAGCGGCCGGATGATGCACTCGTGTTTGGATGTCTCGAGACTAGGGATTGGGTAGAGCGGAATGCAGGGCGAAAGAACGGAATAGAGGGGCGTTCAAAGGATGTGATAAGCGCTTGCGTCGGGAGGCCCGAGGTTGGAGGAGGGGCGTCGGCTTCGGCTTGGGGTTATGCAAGAGCTTGCCCATGCGGCGAGTGTGGAGGAATAAGCGGGGTTTCTATGTTGGGTAAGTCGGGGTAACACGTGCTTGATGAGGAATCTGGAGTGGTAAATATGCTTGAGAGGCGATATTTACGCGATTCTACAACAGGATCATAGGCTTTCCACCTCCTTACGCCCATATTGTAGGGATGGATTAAAAGTATCACGTGGTTCACTTTCATCTCGATACCACCTTGGAAATAACTCTACGTAGTTATCCGTATAATAAATAAAATCGGTAGTGACGTAAATCCACCTTTCCGAAGAGATCTCGTGTTAACAAAGAGGCTTGAGATTCAAAGTATCAATGGGCAAGTGCGGAACCGCAACCGCTGGAGTATCGGAAGACGGCAAGTGAGCGCTAAGTAAGATCGGCCATTTGTGACTGTTGAGCAAATGCTTGTACTGAACCTCGATTTTACCTGTATGCTCACCACAAAGTATGGGCGGATGGAAAGCGATATTTATCGTCCGCGTCCCGGATCGAATGCTAGGGATGTTAGATTCCTTATGAAGAATATTAAAAACGGCCAAGCGCGTGAAGGAAGAGGGAAAGGGAGGAAAGAATGCGAGCTGGCTATAGAGCAGGACTCTTAAGATGTAGGGGTGACCTCCTGGGAAGCGCGAAAGAGAATATGTGAGAGATGAAGAAAAATACACCTTGGACCAACGACGCTGACGCAGTTTGAGTACACATCAATATAGCGCTTAGGACAACGTCATAACAATTGGAATTCCTGCTCCAGCAACTTAGAGATGTGTGTAGAAAACTACACCTCCTCAAGGTGCAAGCTTCACTCCAGAACATTTCAATAATCCTTTCACATCTACCTTCCTCTGATCCCCAGGACATCTCAGCATGACTGCCAACAACTTCGACTTCAAAATCACCATTATGGCGGGGGGAGGCGGCAGAATCGGGAAAGCCATGTCTGAATGGGTTATCAATGTGGGGAAGAAGGTCTTTATCATCGGCAGCACGAATCCACACTGACGCCTACTGTGATGGAAATCGAAGCGGCAGCTTACTACCCATTAATATTAGTTATTAGTGACATCTCGTCGATCCTGGCTTTGTAAGAAAGACCATAGCTGGGTATCCGGAGTCAGCTGGGTATCCGGAGTCAGCTGGGTATCCGGAGTCGGCTGTTTTGTCAACGATGCTGGTTTCCAGAGACCACCCGAGGTCCTCAATGACGATGAGACTGAGTTGCTGAAGAAGGCGGATCAGGAGATCGATATCAACATCAGGGCCCGCTTCATCTGGCTGTCGAGCTACTGAATTACTTTAAACCGAAGCCGAGCGCTGTGGTAGTTAATGTAAACTCAGTGTTGGGCTTCAATTCGATGAGTAATCAACCCAGTGTACAATGGGACAAAGGCCTAGTTGCATTCTGGAGCATGACGCTCCGGACGCAGCTGAAAGACACGAATATTAGGGTGATAGAGATCGAGCCTCCGACTCTAGCTACAAATCTCTACCGAGAAAGGAAAGATCCGAATGATAACAAGAAGATCAAGAATCCAAGAGCGATGTCAGTCGAGGGGATCATTGAAGAGATGACGAAGAAGAGGGGGTGAGAATATTGGGGTGAGAATATTGGGGTGAGGTCGGGTGCTCGGTTCATCCCATAGCAGAAGCAGGCGTTTGGAAGGATTATGCAGAGATGGCGCACCGATTTTGAATGGCAATCGTGCGATGTGTGTCTGAATAATGATGGCTGATGAATTGAAGACTAGCTCGATAAATGAATTATAGAGGTTCGATTTGCTGAATAACAGGGCGATGATTAAGTCATGCCGCAAGAACTGTACGCAGGGACGAGCAGCGACTCGGTTGTTCACTGCGCCTTTCGTCGAAACCGTCTCTGAGGAGGAAAGACGAGAATGGCGCGGACAGCACTTGCAAAGTGGCAGCCCCGCCAAGTGTCTAGCACACGCTACAACTCGTGCACCCCTGTCACCTCTAGCTTTTGTTTACGTCCCATCCCACTTTCGCCGCCTCATTACCTCGACACCCTAAATTCTTCCCAGCACCCAATACAATCCACGCGCAACAATGGCGCCCCGCAATCCCGTCGCAAACATATCCTTCACCGTCGACTCTGCCTCCGAGGACGAAATGGCACGCGACGTCAATTCCTTCCCGACTCCAGACTCCAACACCGAGAACAAGGTCCCGGCGCGCAAAGGACGCGGAAAAGCTGCGCAAAACGCAAAACCTGCACCTGCGACAAAGAAAATCGCGAAAGTGAAGGTTCCGGCGCGTCGAGCTAGTGGCGGGTCTGTGTTGGGGGTCAAGAAGGAAAAGGCAGCAGTTACAAAGAAGTCAGGCCCGAGGGCCGGCCGCAAAGTCCTTGCCGAGCGCCAGAATACGAATATGAGTGACACCGAAGAGGTGGATGAATTCGAAGGCGAGGAGGAGATAGTAGGACCAGTGGCGGAGGTTAAGGTAACGAGGCGGGGACGACCGGCGAAGGCGAAGAAGGTGCAAGAAGAAGATGAGAGCGTGACTGAGATACCTGCACCGCAGAAGAAGGCGCGCAAAGTCGCTGATGCAAAGCCAATTGCGAAGGCTGCGGCTAAGACGAAGGCTGCGACCAGATCTAAGCCCTCGAAACGCGCCTTATCTCCCAAACCAGAAGCCAAGGTTATCCCAGAAACCCAGCCGGAACCGGACCTAATGGACATCGAAGAGTCGATTGAGGTGGACGAGATTCCCGAGACTCTCCCTCCCCCACCTTCACGAGCCACCGCCCGTCGTGCGCCTCAACCATCCGCCAATCAACGTCAGCCGGCAGCAGCACACCGTCGAGCAGGAAGCGCGTCGGACTCAGAGCGAGATCCAGCGTTGAGGCGAAAGCTAGGTGACATCACCAGGAAGCTAGAGGCCATGACAACCAAGTATGAGAGCTTGAAAGAAGTCGCAACATCCGGCAAAGACACGAACTTCGACCAACTGAAGCGAAAGACAGAACAGGCTTCCAAGGACCAAGACGCTATCATCAAGGCGCTGAAACAGCAAATCGCCGAATACCAGTCCCGAACCTCAGACATGTCTGCCATGAAGAAAGACGTCACAAAACTAGAGAAGGAGAATTCTCGCCTCGCATCCGAGAACAAGACACTCACGAGCTCCCTGTCCTCGGCACAGAACGAGAACAAGGCACTTACCGCGAAGCTGGCAGCGGCCCGCTCCTCTGTCCCTCCTGAGTCCAAAAACGTCCCTGGAAGCGCCGTAAAGCCGCGCTCAGTCGTACTCCCCGGTTCTGCGGAAGCCGCCAAGGAAGCACAGCTCCGACAGCTCAAAGAAGACCTCTACAGCGACTTGACCGGCCTGATCGTCCGCGGCGTGAAGAAAGGCAGCGAAGGAGAAGACGTGTATGATTGCTTACAAACTGGTCGCAATGGAAGTAAGTCCGGTTCCCCTCCACCCTTCACCCTCCACTGCACGTTATATTCCACCCTCCCTAGCGTCGCATAACCTAACATGTCCTATTCTTAGCCCTCCATTTCCACCTATCAGTCGCAGCAGACGGTGACAACTATGACGATACCGAGTTCGGGTACTCACCGCTATTGGACGAGAATAGGGACAAGGATCTGTTAGATATTCTGCCAGATTATCTGACTGAGGAGATTGCGTTCCCGAGATGCCATGCCTCGAAGTTTTATATGAAAGTTGTCGATTGTATGACAAAGAAGGTTGTTATTGAGGAGTGAGCTGCTGCAGGCTATGAAAGAGGCTTTGGAGTGTCATGTCATGCATGTAATGACGAGAGTGAAGGCGGAATGGTGATGGGCAAGGTTTGAATTGGTGTTGGGGCGGGTAGATGGGCTGGAATGGACTAGTGCTCCAGGTTTGCTTCGGAGTTTGGGCTGGTTTGGATCGCACGGGTGATGAACGATACCTGGCGTATGGTTAACGATCTTGGACAGCACATGTTTATGTTCCCGGAGTGCTGCTGTGGGTTCTTTTCTAGTATCTGAGCTTAATCCAACAGACTCCTATTTTCAATACGAGAGAGTCGGGGGCCGCGAGGTAGCGTGGCGTGTGGTGTTGCGTGTGGAGAAGTTGTGCAGTTCCGGCGATGTGATGGCTTTTGGTACAATTGCTACTGTATCTACAGTTTTACATTCCCTCACCGGCATGGATGCATCCGTCTATCCGAGAAACTGGTATGCGGCTGGCGGACCTTGCTCATCATCATTCAAGTTCTCCCCAATTCGCAATCTCATCCCATCCATCCCATCCGTTTCCATCCCATCTTCTCCAATACCATCGTCTCCTGTCGTCTCAGCCTAGTGTTTCTCCTCCCCCTGAGCCTTCTTCACAAATTCTCTGCAAAAGCGTTAGCCATCCACTACTGCCTGCATACTCTTATTCCCCCATCTCTTCCCGCTCTCCGCAGTCAAACCGAAAGCGTGGGGACGTGCAACGTACTTTATAAAGCTCTCCTCCTCCTTACTCTTCGCATTGATTGGCGGGCCTTGGTTCGACTCGGCTTTCTTACCGCCCATAGAGAGATATGCGCCGACAAAGGTAGTGCCGAGGGTGGCCATTGCGAGCTGTAAAAGCCCACCGTTAGCGCTTACATATATTGTGGTAAATTCCCCCAGCGCGACTGTTTACAAAATAGTAAAAAAGGATCGTGGTGGAAAAGGAACAGGTGTGGCGTTGATGATGTGAGGATTAGAGTGAGGTTCTGGAGTGGAGCTTTTCTGCGCTCGGCCAGCGGGAATCCGCCTGCACCGAAGAATAGGGTACTCACGACATGCGATCCGACCTGCCGGCCAGCAATCGTGTACATAGCAACCATAATTGCGGTTTCTGGGTAGGAGTTGGGCGGATGGGTGGGAATGGATGGCCAATGGCTGCGGGGAGGTCGGGTCGATGAGGTTGTTGTTCAACCCGCCGGAAGCTTGACGGTTGAGGATTTTGGGATGAGTAAGCAACTACACCAGCCACATATGTGGCGGAGAAATCAGCCACTCGGAAGAAGGGACGTCACCGAGGCGGGGAGCTTCCGGGAGCTCCATCTCTACTTCCCGAACATCGAAACGCGGCAATTCTTTGACCACTATTCTTAATCAAATTGTCTACATTGTAGGATAGGCGCGCATACACACATAGTATAGAAGAGCAAGGATACAGGATTCTCCATTATGGTGAAAGACGACAAGAAACTCTCTGCAGAGGTCGAGGGCATTCCACACGAACGCACCGGTCAGCGTCCCGATTTCTCGTCGCCTCCCCTGAGAAAGGCTTTGCCGAAGGACTTGCAGGATACGTTGGATAGTGAAGAGAAGCTGTGGGCAACGCTGTACGAGGGGAAGTAAGTCATCACGCCCTTCCTTCTCGGAGAGTTTGAAATGGAAGATGCAGCACGCGAGCAACGCCTGGACAACCCTAAATCTCTCTCTCTCTCTCTCTCTCTCTCTCTACATTCTCATCACACACCCAGCACTCTTGCAAATGTGCAGAACGAGCTAACTAACATATTCATCTTCCTAGAGCGCAAGAATCCACAGACACATCTCTCCGCTATGCTGCCTATGCCTCCCGTATCCGCACTATAATGCTCTCTGCCCACCGCTATGTCGCTTACACCTCTGACATCGGGGAATCTTTTCGACCCGTCGCACACCCCTTCCTTGTACGGGGCGCCTACGCCGTCTCCTGGGTGTATCTGACCGGAGATGTTGCGTATGAGGGGTATAAGGCTTACTTGAGGAATCAGCGGGTTTTGCATCCCGAGCTGCATGGCGGGAAGACCGTTGACGATAGCCAGGCTCAGGCGCAGAGCGTTTGGCAAAAGGTCGTGGGGAAACTAGGCGGCGGGGAGAGCACCGCGGGAGTCGGGGTTGGAGGTATTGGTGGGGGGGAGTCGGTACCGGAGAGAGTCCCGGCGATAGAGGACTACAGAGCTGTGATGGCGCAGAGGGCGGTATTTCAGGGATTGGCGAGTATGGGATTGCCGGCATTTACGATTCACAGTATTGTGCGGTATTCAGGACGCGCGATGAAGGATTTGAAGAATAAGACACTGAGGACGTATGGGCCTATCGGGGTAAGTCTAATGTTTCCTCCCGCCGATTAATCTGCTTTCCATTTCCGTATTTTGGTTGAGAATTAAGCAAATCCGAGCTAACTTGGATGGACTTCTAGCTCGGTCTAGCAGCCGTCCCCTTCCTGCCCTACATCTTCGACAAGCCAGTTGAAGAAGCCACCGAATGGGTCTTCTACCATGGTTTCAAGGCTGTTGGCGGACCGGAAGCCGTCGAAGGAAGGCCGTCGATGGGGAATAAGCATCTGAGGTTTAAGGAGTCCAGAGAGGGAGCGGCGAAGGAGAAGGAGCTATGATGACGGAGAGGGTGGTATCGTTATCACTGCTGCTCATGATACAACGTATACCATGGCTTATGAATTGTACACAGTACTCTGTACCGTAGATGGGTGGTATACCATTCATCTCGGCTCTTCTCGTCTCTTCTCGTCTCGCTGCGCGGGCGTTCAGCATGTATATATGAGAATCAGACTCTTCTATAACTACCCCTTTGGAGCTTTTTGTGAACACTTAGCTGCTCGTGTAGAAAGGTGGTGATGGCATCAACACATTCGGGATGACGATTCTGGGGAGCACACATGATTCAAGAGCCCAGAAATGTCAATTTCTTTCTATACCCCGCACACATCTCTAGGAGTCTTCACGAGCTATCCCTTACTGGACGAAGAAGAAGGAGAAGTAGAAAAAGTCAGTTCCATCTCAGCACTGCATCGATGTTGTGCAGCCTCAGTCCCGAAACTAGCATCCCCATTTTGCTTATCATTTCTGGTAGACGGTTCTATTCTTCTAGTTCTCCGCTTTCGCCTAGTAGGAATCCGGGGGCGTGCAACTCACTTTACTCGAGTTGTACGGTACATGAGATCATACTGTCCCAGCCGGGGGCGTACTGTCTACACCTGCCGTCGGCGAAGCTAGGACAGCTAATAACATATAGAATTCCGGACTCTATCGACCTCACCCCTTAGTCTGCAAGGAATGAACTTACAAGTATAGGTGTGTTCACCTCAACTGTAGAACGATATCAAGACCGGATGGACTTCCTTGGAGACTTAGATATTGGAGGATATTGAAGCAAGCATACACGGAGATTCAGGCTCAGATATAACTATCCAACGTTAGTCTGTAGTTAACTTAACGTGTTCTACCCCAAAGCTTACCAAAAATGGGGAAAACTGTACCTTAACAACTCAGCACCGGCGTAATCATAAGTATTAATTTTTAGCCCCCAATCTTCAGTTAAGTTGCTCAGTCTCCATACCATAGTGTCCTTGACCTTCGGACGTTTGCCATTGGTCGCAAATCAATGATCTGGGGCGGAAATCCTCGTCGATTAAAGTCTGGAATTCACTGAACAAGAGACTGCTCCTCGACAAGTTATCGCTTTCAATCAGCTGATATTGTCTCGCGTTTGGGTAGGATACCGCAGAAAGGCACGCCTGAAGGGGCAATTCTGGCACGTCGTACGCAGCTGTAAGGGAGCGTTTGGATTAAAAAGGGTCTCTTTTAAAAGATAGAACAGCACGCCTAGTCTGCCTTCTTTTAAAAGCTGCAGGGGTTGCTGGTGGAGAGGCATGGTCAATAGGATGATAGGAAATTGGCGGTAGGTTTAGTGGGGTGCGCAGCTTCCTGTGAAGCTATTAAGAGCACCAGATGCAAGAAGAATTGAGTTGATTGTTAAAGGAGTGTACCTGAAGGTCTATTTATGTAAAGGAGTATGGTAGAAAGCAGGCTGATTATCAGGCAGCATGTGGGTATAGTAGGCGGCTGTGGTGTCATGTATGCAAGCAAGCGATAGAGCTTGGAGAGCTCCGTAACTGCAAACACACCCCAGGTTGAATGAATTAAAATGAAAGCTGTATACAACACCGAAATATTGGTAGACAATTTGTATAGTAAACAGTTAATGGGATGTGTGAAGCGAATAGGTAGCTATCTCGAGGCACTGTATTCGAACATCTCTTGGGAGAGGAAATCAGAGGTATTGATACACAACCGCCGCTGCTGCGTGGACAACTTTAACAACGAGGAACTTCCCGGAACACAATGCCTCACCGAGAAATCCGGCGCCAATGAAGCCATTGGCAATGGGGTGGCGTATCAGCGGTCAACCACGGTCAACTAATGGATGCTCGTGGGTACTGTCATTGATAATGCCTCCAGTGACGGGCGGAAGATCTCCTTTGGCATGGGGTATGACTATATGCTCGACGTCAACATCGACATCGACATCGAGGATGGCAAACCGTTGCTGATGCTGCCTCAAAGTCCAAGTGGTACCCACACTTATCAAACTAAGATGACAGAACAGAACTGGCAACCCAGGCTCCTTACTAGAATGAAGAGGACGATGCACAGAACTAGGACTTCTAGCACTCCTCAGGCCTTCCAGGGCTTTGCTACCCAATGCTGTATCATCATAAAAAACCGGCCACCAATATCCCTCCAGATGTGGACAGGATCGAGGGATCCATGATTGTGAAATGGACAAATTGCATCATAGTTTCTTAGGAACTGGACTTGTGGAAGGAATTCGAGTGTACAATAAGCTCGGGTGACGGCGGCAGTCGGGCTCCTAGACTTCAGAGACAAACGAGATATGGAGTTGAAAGAACGTGGACGCCCAGGAAACTTGAAAAAGGGAGAACAGAAATGGGGCTCATTCTCAACCCCGGATTGTATCTCCTTTCTCGCCGTATTGCTCCGCTAAGTCTCCTTCGAAGGCCTTGAGCAAGCCCTCACAGCCTCGAAATTCTGCCAAAAGCGAGCACCGAAATATCTACATAGGCGCGGTTCCAACTTGACAGGACGTTATTGTGCGGTTGCCTTCTGAAAAGAAAAAAAAAGGCGCGTTCACGTGCAACCCGTGCCCTCAACACCACATCCTAGTGCCTCTTGGAAAACATGTTTCCTCCACCTCGCAACCCAAACTAATCCTACAACCCACCAAACCTGTCTAAATGATCTCGCATGTTGGACGACATCAACCAACCACCGCGGACATTGCATCCAAAAGCAGCGAATCAAGGTGTATAAATGGCTAGCGCCGGTCGTATCCACGCGTCCCCAAGGCGGACTTTGAGGGTGCGGCGTGGCTGTGCCATATGATTCCGAGCCAACAACCCGCAGACCCACCGAAGTCCTAACTTCCATCATCGTCACCTGAACCAAACCTTACTTCTCACCTCTTCACCTCCTTAATTCTCAGGCCCTTTTTCCTAAGGCTCTAATATTTCTTTTTGGTCCATACAGACGATGTTGTGAAAATGCATCCCCTCACCCTCGTTAGTCTTCTCGCTTTCTTCTGGACAACTATTGGGATTGTTGTCGCCAGTGACACAGTCGGAGAAAACCGCATCAAAGTCTTTCTCTTCGCCGCGCCGGCTTTCTTTCAGGCTTCTGAAGTCGATGCGGGAAAGGATATTTGTGTGTCTTTAGGGAATAATCTGTTCGTCGCATATTTGGAGCGAAAGAATACACGGAGAACTGATTGTTGGTCGCAGAATTGATGGGAAAACCCAATCCATTCTTATCGGTGGCGCTGATGTCGATGCTGTGTGGGCGAGGAAGGATCATTGGAGTTGCACGTTTTATGAGTATGTGATGGATCCTTGCCGCTTTGGCTGGATGATGGATGGATCACGCTAATCAGGGGGTAGTAATTACAACTGCGAAACTGGGCCTACTCGGAACTTGACTTTTGTCGACGGCGTAAATAGCCTCGGAGGCGTGGGGTGGCAAACGAAGATCCACAGTCTAAAATGCGGCGTCGATTCCGATTGAGAGTGAAGGCGCGCCGATGTTGGAATGGAAAGCTGGTCTGTTGTGGTTGGGAGTCTGCTTGGGGCGAGGAAGATGCGAATGTTTTGAGAGAGCTGGCCAGTTTCCTAGTTCTGGACACAGCTCGGACTGTTCAATGACCCTCTATTGGGCTTGAACCGCGTCCCCGAGGATGATCACACCCCCACCTAGCCGACACCTACACTCGACATAACCCGCCTTATGGACTCAGACCCGTAAAGTATCACCACGCGCTTTACACTGCCCATGATGGTCATCTACCCTGGACGCTTACTCGTCGCAAAGCATGCATCAAACCAATTCATACTAGGCTACCCACTGGTCCATCATGCTCACCATTCACCACCAAACCCAAAAGCTACCCTGCATGGCGCGTAGTCGAGACTCGTTTGGATATGAGGGTACGAAAAGGTTGGCTTGGCATCTGCTTATGGTCCAAAAGAAATGTTGCAGCCAAGGGCAGAAGCCTCGGTTCAGCTTCTCTGTGTGAAGGCCCGCTAGGCGAGTAATAATATAATATCAGGAATTGGAAAATCAAGAAGTTATTACTTGAAGAGTATTATGGCTTGTCGAATCAGGCGACAAGAGAGTCGCATAGTAATTTGACACATGAAGAAACACGTAAGATTCTAACGATGTCATAATATCATTATCATGGGTATCACGAACCCAAAACCCAAACGAAAACCAAATCAACGCGATGCAATGTGATGCTGCTCAAAGTTCAATCAAATCCGGATCCCCCACTCCCCTTAGCAAGACAATCGTATTCCCCGTCTGACACGGAGCACCAATCTTGTCACTGAACCTCAGCGGTCTTCCTCCCTCGACGTGGAAGACTCTCAGCTTGTCCTCTTCGCCTCCACCACGGTTGTTCACGTTCTCGACTTGGAGTGCTTTCGCCGCAAGATCGAGGACGCGGCCGACTGTCCAGTCCTTGTTATAGAAGAATTTGCCGCTCGGGTATTTCGATTTCGTGGTATCGGCGGAGGCTTTGACGTGGAGGTATATTCGCTTGTCTTGGGGAATCGATGATTCACCCCTTGCTGTCTTCTTCAGCTCATTTATCTCTTTCAGCCGCTGTGCAGCGGTCTTCTCTTCCTTCGTCTTGAACTTCTCAGCGAAGGCCGCAACCTTAGTTTCTCTAGTATTTTCGAAAGCCCTGGCTCTGGCGCCCCAAGCCTTCCGAAACGACGATAGCGCCGACTTCACGGCCTTCTGCCCCTCGGAAATAGTGGTGGGCCGCGCTCCTATCAGCTTCAAGTTTTTACAATCGTGGTCCTCTTGCATGCGATGCTTTAGGCAGTAGTGGCGGTTGCAGGTCGTGCAATGATTGCCTGGCATGCGGTTCGTATAGATCAGCATCTTACAGCTGGTGTCAGAGCACTGGTGGTCGTGGTTCAGTAGGGAGGGCTTCGGGAGGGATGCATTCGTGCTCGCGTTGAGGGCGTTGCGTTTCCGTGCCCATTCTCCTTCCTTGGGACATTTGTGCGAGGTTTCCGATCGGTGGTCAAGGCAATAAGTCCTCCGAGGGAATAAAGTCAGTAATCGTCTTGTCCCGCTCGTGACGCCCACTTACCCCCGGCAACTCTCACACCGGAAGGGGAGGAAATCAAGTACATGGCAGTAGGCCATCTGGCAGTGGGCGCCAATAGCCTCAACGTCGCCGTTAGACATCTCAGTGAAGCTTTCAGGGGTTGAGCTCGACTGCGACGGGGCGATAAGAATTGAGGGCGTCATATTGAGAACCAAGGCGTTTAAATACGTGAGATGGAAGTGGCGGGAATGAGGAGGGATGAAGTAGGGATGAGAAATCCGACGAAGGATCGAGAATTCTCGACGTACGATCCGTAAGGCTCTGAGAGCTGATGCCGCTCCGTGAGGCTGAGGGACAAACTTCGGAACGAATGCCGAGGCCGGCAATAGACATTTGTCTAAAACGCTTCCGCCTTCCGCCTCACCAAAGTCCCCAACTTCCGAAAACAAACGCGGCAATGATACAGAAATAAAACTTCGTAAAAAAGTTGTATATAAAAGAGATCTGCAAGGCAAATTATTTCTATACAGAAAGGAGTCTATCTTTCTACTGTTGCCATCTCGAAACGCCTGTTAAAGTTGGCCTAACTTTGGTGTTCTTCGCAGAGGGGAAATGAATCAATTCACCCCGGTGAGGCTGGGCGGATTCAGGTGCCAGCATTCTTCAAAGAATGCGATAAAGGACTTGGATTCCTTGAAGAAATTTGCTTCGCCACCATGATGCAACTTGCGACACGACTCTCAGTTTAGGTTGATGACGAGAGGGCATGGAAAACCAAACCCTTTAACTGCAAGAATAAAGCGCGAATATATTTGGCCCGTATCTTGAACTCAACCATTAATTAGTGTTTGTATCTGAGGAATATGGTGATTATTGCGGACTGCGATCCGTAGTCGGCGCGGGATGCTTGAGACAAAGTTGGCGGCTGTGGCCAACCCCTGCTCGCATGCTGTCCACCATTGGCGACTGCCTGCACCTTGAAAAAAGGCACATTTCAGTGCCAATGTCTCTTTAGTACGGATTATTCCTAAGCTTATTCCTTATCCTCCCACTACCCTCCCTAACAGTGTAGGTGGATTATCCTGACGTATGTCTGCGTCGCACCCTATTTACCAGTATCAGCCACTCCCGCGAGATGACTGTATCCGACTTCTTGTTTTACTCCCCGGATCCTACGATGAACCAAAGCTGTCTTGCCGGCTCCTCTCTGTCCCGCTCGAGGAAGCACCCTCCTTTGAAGCACTCTCTTATGTATGGGGAACGCCAGTAAACACTGCTGTGATCGACTGTTGCCGTGGATACTTGCCAATCCGTGCGAATCTAGAAACGGCCCTTCGACAACTCCGACATCGTGCTGAAACGAGATGGTTATGGGTTGATGCTCTCTGCATCAACCAAGAGGACGATAGTGAGCGTGGAAACCAGGTTAGAATGATGGGGCTTATTTATTTCCAGGCTACTCGTGTTGTTATTTGGCTTGGGTTGGACGATACTCAGTACGAAGAGGATGGTGTTTTCGTCCAGGTCCCGGCTTCAGGAGTGTTCGAGACCATTTCAAAAACTGCACAGAGAATCTTTGAAGACATCGAACGTTTTGACGTCATAAAATCGATGCCGGTGGTTACCCTAGATGACCTTGGACGGTACGACATCACCAAATGGAAACACCTTTCTTCATTTATCCGGCTCCGCCCATGGTTCCACCGTGGATGGGTCATTCAGGAGATCGGACTAGCGGGTGATTCCCTTCTAGTTTGTGGATCCGTAGAGCTCGGCTTCTGGGACTATATTATTTTCGTTCGCTGGCTCGTGACTCAGGGCCGACTCCTCTGTACCTTCTTTTGCATCGACGTGAGTCACCAGGAGCTTGCTGCCGAATACTGGCAGTCAGTTCGTATGCACCCAGAATATTTGGAGCATCCCAGTGATTTCCTATCAGTCCTTGCAGGAGCGAGAGGGGTGCAATGTACGGATGAGAGAGACTACGTATATGCCTTTCTAGGGCATCCATCTGCTTTCCAGACTAAACCTGGAGATGCTGATCCATATCTGGATTACAAAGCGAACTATACCAAGCCCACCATCGTGCAGCCGAACTACGCCAAGGCAGCTGAAGAGGTATATATGGAAGTTGCTCAGAAGCTCATCCATCACATGGGCAATCTGGATGTTCTTTGCTACGTGAACCACACCCAGGAGACATTCAATGACAAGTATCCAACTTGGTTCCCCCGCTGGAATCTTACCTTTGCTAAATCATGTCTGGGGCTTAGCGGGGATCACTATTATTCCGCATCTATGGATTCTGTGCCTACCTTCAGTTTTCAGTCCAGTGGTAGCTTGAACCTAAAAGGACACTACATCGATGTCATCGACTGGGTGAATCTCATCCCAGAGGGTTTCGGAGGTGCTTTGTATTCCTCACTTGTACCTGATGGTTCACCGCCACCGGTCCAGGACCAGCTAACATCTCTTTGGAACATGTGGAAGTACCGAGCTTGGCAAAAATACATGTCCCGCACCTCACAGCGCCTTACGCCAGCTTCTTTCGCCCATCTTCAGGATAATCGAAATCGATCAGACTTCCTGTACACTCTCACAGCAGGCTTAATCAACAGGGAGTCTGCAGAAAACAACTCCGAGCAATTTCACGCAAATGTCGCTGCTTTTGAAAGGCGCGTGGCATCGGCCTCCGAGTCCAAAAACACTCTGACACAACCCAGCCACACTAGCGACATGGCCGGTAATGCCACAAGATTCCTATTCGACCTGGAAATACATGCCGAGGGCCGCGTCTTCTTTAGCACAATGGCTGGTCGCATTGGCCTCGGGCATCTTCTAACTAAGGTTGGAGATGAATGTTGGATTATTGCTGGCGCGGCAACGCCGTTCCTCTTGAGACCTTCCGGGGGTGGATGTAAAGGGCAGTCAACGGAAGTAGGGTATAAGATGATTGGGGAAGCGTATCTGCACGGTGTGATGAGGGGTGAAGCATTTAAGAAAGAGGACTTGGTAGATGTTGTAATTTACTGAAGCAGAGGAAGTGAATTTCGAATAATGTCGCATTACGCATATGTGACCACAGCTGCGAATCAAAGTTGCCTCTCAGCGTACAAGCCTTTGGTATGTTGATAGATTGAGGTCATTGAGGGACAAAAATCTGGCAGGAATACAACCACAGAAAGAAAGTGAATGAGAGACGCGGCGAAGCGACAATGTACCAGGTATCACAAGTTACAAGGTCTACTCTCTGTAATATGCTAGTCTCTATAGCCTCTTGCTGTAATAACTGGAAAGGTGCTATAAAGCCAGGTGTTCAATTCCGCACCGTTCAACGCTATAGACCTCCGATGTAACGGCATTAAAATTCCATTCATAGTGTCTTTGTCTGCCATGTTCCTGTCGATGTCCGCTATACCTCGGGATGTCACGCGCTTTGTCAATGATTCTCCGCCTTCACAATAAATGTGGATAGTATATAAAAACGACTAATCCTGGAGATTCTCTTCAGAAACCTCAACAAAGTCGTAAACCCCCAAAATTCAGGCAAAGATATTTAGTGTTTTGAATCGGTCAACATCGGGCACACTCAGACCTACTTATCCCCGCCCGCAATATCTTGAGCATATTCCTTCGACATTGTTTGAAGAGAAAACAATACCATGAACTTTAGCGCACCCAGCAAAAACGAAGCAGCAAGGCCATTATCTGTGACGATCATGTCATTCGAAACAATTCTGAATTAATTACCTAAAAGACGATAAAACCGGTAAAGCATTGCCGTAGAAGGATAAATAGTACTGCAACAATCAGAGGGAGGGTTGTTATGACACAAAAAATTGAGCCGTGAGGGTGGGTATGTAAGAAATGCGATGGTCAAAGAACAAATTCTCATCGTGGGTGGGGAATGTAAGATAGGGGTACAAATCCAGTTCCTCCGTAATGGATAGTCGAAGTAGGAGGTGTGATAGAGACATTAAATTAACTTGATTTCTAGTTTGTATTCATTCCTAAATTAGACGTGTTGTGAACGAGTAACATTCGTCCCTACGTACCAAGAATCCTACTCTACTAAGTAATATTATTAGTTATATGTAAAAATCAGTGCATTTCTTAGCGCTTCCCACAGGATTTTCTCCCCTACTAAAATAGTATAACGTACCTTACATAGGAGTTAGTCACACAAGCGAGTCAGTCACTTGTGCTAAGCCCCTACTAAAACTCCCTTAATTATAGCCTATAAAAACCTACTTTAGCCTTGTATAGTATAGTACAGCATAGAATATTATTTAAAGGCTATTTCTATTACTTACTTACACATGTGTAAGTTATATCCTACTTTATAGCACTATTTATAGCGCCTTTAAGTTGCCTTATGTGAGAGCACTGTGAAGCAGGAAGCATGAAGCGCAGAAGGGGGTACAGGATAGTATTAATAGACAAATCCTTAAGGAGACTCAGGGGTTTGTAAGAGGATATATATATATGTGCTAGAGCACGTAACAGGACATTATGTGCCTAAGGCTAGGATAAGAGCTCTCTAGAGAGAGTCTAAGGCATGTCTAAGTTAACTATAACACAGCTCTTTTTTTTTTTCTATAGGTTGTTCTTAATTCTGTAATTAAATAAGTAAGATTTTATAGTAACTTAGACTAGCTCTAGGCAGACCTACAGTAGAGACTATATAAGTTACACCTAAGTAGTACTTATTACTAGTAACTAAACTTTAAAAAACTTTAGTAAAAAAACTATATTTAAAAAAGTATAACTAAGTAATTTAAAATATTATTACTAGTACTATAGTTACTAATATAAAGTATTTTTATTTTATTAAGTTAAGCTTAATAAGCTTATAAAAGCTAAGTAAAGTAAATAGTTTATAATTAAAAAGCTTACTATTATAAAAGTAACTTAAAATTATAACTTTTTTTTTTTACTATTTTGTTAAAGCCTACTTTTAAAAGTTCTAGTTTTTTTAAGTACTAATAAATTAGTGCTTTAAAAATAATTTTATATATAAAATACTTAAAAATTATCTATACATAAGCATAACTACGTCTATACACGCGTATAGCTAAATTAAGTTGCCTAAAACGTTAGCTATCTAGCTACTACGCTAAGAGCTAAATGTACTTAACAACCCTCTTTCTTTATATAAAAAGAGAGAGTAGTAACGTACTTTATAGGCAAGTTGCTCACACACCTGAGTTGCTTACTTTTGCTAAGACCTTACTAAACTACCCTTCCTACACTAATGCATTCCCTACAACACTACTTAGACGCGCTAAAAGAATGTTAGATACAGCTTACACTCTAAGCTTTTAAATAAGACATAAAACTTTTAAAGAAATGTGCTATAGCTATGTGTAAAGTTTTATAAAAAATAATAAATAACTATAGCGCTAGATAACTTTTACAAGCTAATTCTACAGCTAAATTATAAAGGCTAGGTAATAAAAAAGAGCAGGTGATTATTAAGACTATACTTAAGCTATATACATAAGGAATTTCCCCTTAGATAGCATTTATAGCTAATATAGCTAATTCTTTGCGCGCTAAGCGTAATCTAGGCTATGTTTGCATAAACTAGCCTAGTACGTTTGTAAAGCATTATTTAGAGCTTAAAGTAAAGTTTTAAGTGTAAGTATAGTTAAAAAATATCTAGCTAATTATAAACTCTGTCTTACTAAAGTTATATATGTTATTATCCTAGATGCTATACTTAGCTTTAATATTCTCTATAAGGCTAAACCTGCTCTAAATTACTCTAGGACTCTTATAAAAGGCTCTCTTATAGTTATACTTACGCTTAAATGTTACTTTAAGCTCTAAATAACGCTTTATAAACATACTAGGCTAGTTTATGCAAACATAGCCTAGATTATACTTAGCGTGCAAAGAATTAGCTATATTAGCTATAAATGCTATCTAAGGGGAAATTCCTTGCGCATATAGCTTAAGTATAGTCTTAATAATTACCTACTTCTTTTTATTACCTAGCCTTTGTAATTTAGCTGTAGAATTAGCTTATAAAGGTTGTCTAGTGCTATAGTTATTTATTATTTTTTATAAGACCTTGTATATAGCTATAGCACATTTCTTTAAAAGTTTTATGTCTTATTTAAAAGCTTAGAGTGTAAGCTGTATCTAACATTTTTTTAGCGCGTCTAAGTAGTGTTGTGGGGAATGCATTAGTGTAGGAAGGGTAGTTTAGTGGGGTCTTAGCAAAAGTAAGCAACTCAGGTGTGTGAGCAACTCGCCTATGAAGTACGTTAGTTAATTATAAAAAAATCTTTACCTACTTACTTTATTATAGGCTATACGCTTAGCGTACAGCTACCTATCTACCTACTGCGTGCGTAGCCACGCAGAGAAAAGACCTACTACTAGATGTGTAGCTATTTAAAGTAGTAAGCTAATTAACACTAATTAGTCTATTAACAAGTAGACTTTTACTATGTGTGTAGTTACATAGAGAAAACATCTCTTTAAGATAATAAATTAGTAAAGTAGCTTTAACTACTAGTATAAAAACTAGTTAACTAGCTGCAGCACCTACCTACCATGTGCGCAGCCACGCAGAGGAGGCATCTACTGCAACTAGTAGCTGTTGTACGCCTTAGAGTTAACTGCTAGTATAAAAGCTAGCTAACTAGCTGTAGCACCTATCTACTACGTGCGTAGCCACGCAGAGGAGGCATCTACTGCAACTAGTAGCTGTTATATGCCCTAGAGTTAACTGCTAGTATAAGAGCTAGCTAACTAGCTGCAGCGCCTATCTACTGTGTGTGTAGCCACGCAGAGGAGGCATCTACTGCAACTAGTAGCTGTCGCACGCCCTAGAGCTAACCTGCTACTCCGCACAACAGCCTGCTCTTTAAGAGCCACTGTATAGTTAACTAGCACCACCTACCCTCTCCCCCACTAGACAACTACTGTACAAATGCAACTAGCACCTTCTCTCTCCCCCCTCTAGACAACAGCTATATAAATAAGTAACTAGTAAACCTTTCTCTTACTTTATTATAAAATACTTATATAATAAACTAGTAAAGATAACTTATATATTTAAAATACTACTATTAAAAAAAGTTAACTTTACCTTTTTAGTAAACTATTTTAATATGTTAATAAATCTTTTCTAAGTAAAATAAACTTTATATATAGTAGATACTTTTATTTTTATATAACGTACCTAACAGGTTGGCTGGCTACACAGGTTAGCTAGCCACTTTTGCTAAGCCCCTACCACACTCTACCTATCTACATAATGCTTTAACAACAACACTAGATTAAATCTTCTAAAGAATGTTAAATACAGCTTACTTTTTAAGCTTTTAAATAAAACTTAAAACTCTTTTTATAACATGCTGCAGCTATTTATAATATCTTTTATTAGCAGAGCTTGCTCTGCTTATTATATTCGGGTTTGCAGAACGAAAAGTTTAGCAGAATCTCCTCTTTTAGACGCGCTAGTTAGTTATAATTTCTTTAGATAAACCCTAGTAACACTATTTCTCTGTTACTTTATATATTTCTTATATTTTTTTTTAAAAAAAAATGTATACTTAATATAAGTGCACCTTTATGTTAATTTGCACGTAGTTTGCTCTAGCATGTGTTATATAAAACATGTTTAAATTATAGTTAGTTGCGTCTATTCTACCTCTCTAGCTACATTAGTGTGTTAGGGATTTGCATCAGCCACGCTTAGTTGCAGGCTGTGGTAGGTTGCGTGCTGCACGTGTTTATCCTGCTGCAGTTAAATATTGTTATTATATGTCTATTACTTGTCTAATACTACTTTGCTAAGCATTATGCTGTAACTATTCTTTAACCTAAATAACCTACTTTAATGCGCTAACTGTTACTGTCTACTTAATCTTATAACTAATTAGTAGTTCTTTTAATAAAAGGTGCGTTGTGCTTCTTGTACTACTAAACCCTAGCCTACTAGAAAATGCCTAGCAACCCCTACTGCTCTAGATCCCTTAGCTAATATAAAGAGAAAATATTACCTACTTACTAATATTACAAACGCAGCAAATATCTTTATAGTTATAGTTATAGTTTAAAATAATTTCTATTAAAATAGTGTTACTTGCTTTTGTTAAACACACACTACTTATTTTTACTAAACACGCTTTACTTAATCTTGTTAACTAAATAGTGCTTTTTTTTTGTTAACTACTTAACACCTAGTCTTATACTTTTACATTTTTATGTAAATGTAGTAAATGCAACACTGCTTTTATTAAAGGCATTAATTAATTTAAGGATAGCGTTAAGTAGAAGGTAAACTGTGCAAGTTGTTAAGGTAATATGCAGGCGCGTACTATACAGTATAAGGCCTTTAAGCTTATACTACTATTAAACTTAGGTCTAACTCCTGCGCTCCTTTAAAATGTGTACTAGTTACATATATTAGAATAGACTTATTAATTTTGTAGACTACACCTATCTAGTAATGTTTCTAGCATTTTAAGCGTTTTTTTTACTTCTTAGTTCTTTTTATTATTATAGGGAGATCTTTTTAGATAATTTCTAGTTACCTTATTATAAGAATTAGTAAACAGCAATACTGTGCGTTTATTAGAGAATAAGGCTAGAATAGATGCTTTATTAAAGCAGAACAAAGAGCATACAGCATGCTAGAAACGCCTTATATTATGTAATTTACTATAGATAAATCTCTAAATAATCTAGCACTATTAGATAAAAATAAGAGTCTAATAGTAAAATTTTACTTAGAGCTTAAAAAGATAAATCTAGAGAAATATAAAGTGTGTAACTAGAGGTAGTTTAATTTAAATATTGCTCTACATAAATGCGCTACATGTTAAAAAGACAGGTGCAACTACTTAGACAATCTTAATTAGGTGCTCTTATAGGGTGCTGTAAATAGGCTAGATCCTAGTCCTATACTATCTTATCTTTTAACACTAACTACAACTAAGAAACAACTTCTAGCTAGAGT